TTGGATTTCTAGAACTCCAGATATGGGCCAAATACTAAACAGTGCTCGGGCTGGAGGACAGATTTGGACTTCTTTGTTGTTGCTATAATTTGGACTTACAAATAGCCTTTTTAAATCTTGGGCTCCATACGAAAGTTGTAGGCCTATGTCTTACCTTTCCATCCATATAAAGTAGACCTAAATCCGAGATCTACAGCTCCAGATATGACCCAATTACTGAACAGTGTTCCAGTTTGGACTGCACCGATATCTCTTTTCTAAGTTTGGCCGTCTCTTTGTCCTTTCAATTTCAGTTCTTATCAATCAATCATTTCATTTATGTGACAGGCTTGCATTTAAAATGAACATTTATCATAAATTAAAGGTATCTTATATTATTAAATATATTATTATAAAACATGATTTAGTTAAGGAGTTATTGATACTTCAAGTGCAAGATGATAATATAAAACCTTGATAAAAATGCACTTTTAAGTACTAATCATATTGTCATAGTAATTGAACACTTTGTTGAATTTTAGTTGTTATTATTGAATTTACCTTGTAATTAGTAATTGAATATATAAGATTAAATTTAATTATTTTATCTCAGTTTTACTATATTATTGCATGATATGTGTTTAATTATTTCCATTAATTTTAATTGTTATTTGTATAGATGTTAGGTTATGTATAAGATTTTTTAATAATCAAATCTAATTATGTAATTATTCATATAAAATTGTGTTGAGACATAGAATGAAATCAATAGCTCGTCGCTCACATATGGTAACAACTAGTTCTTCTAGCAGTGAGGATGACATGTCCTTAGGTGCCGATCAAGAAGACGCATTTGTGCTGACTCGCAATGTTGCCTCTTCCAGTGTGGTATCACAGCGCAAAAGCAATGTACCTTTACAGCGAAATCAATTCTCCTATAAGTACGAGGCACATTGAAAGGATGACCTTTCAATGTAAGTTTGTTTGGGTTTTAGTTTTTTTTAATTATAACATAATTTATGAACAACTAATCAATATTTCATTAATTTAATTTATTTTCAGGTTAAAAAACATTGAGTCGTCCGAGTAATATCATTAGCGTATAAATCATCGATGCAGATTACATTATTTCAATGGAGTCAGGTTTCTAGACATCCTGAATGGAGATCTTATATTGATGCATGGTTTTAAAGATTTCAGGTTGGTATTAATTTCTAATTTCTAGCTTATTTTTAATAAATTTTTATTTTTATTTTAAATAAATTATTTATAAATGACACGATGAAAATATTGATGTCTTTTCCCAAGTGCAGGAGTGTCGAAGTAATAAATAATCTGGCAAGACCGGGGTCGAACCACATGGAGATTAATTGTACAAATTATAAATAACAATAATACAACAA